ACACACTAACACACTAACACACACACACACACTAACACACATACACACACACACACACACACACGTGTGTGTGTGTGTGTGTGCGTGTGTGTGTGTGAGTGTGCGTGTGTGTGTGCGTGTCTTTGCGTGTGCATTCTCAATGTGCCCATGTTAACTCAAAGTTGCTCTATAGCTTTTCTATAGCTCGACATATGCGAGTGCTTCTTTTCCAGGGCTCCTTGCATTCAAGCATTGCAGACGAGATTCTCGAGTTCTTTGTAATGGGAATCAGATCCGACGATGAAGGTCGACTGGTCTACGAACATTGGTGAGCATGCACAAGCCCCAGCAGCACAGAAGACATGTCCCCAAGCTGTTCCAAGCTCGATCATGCAAGAATCGACACAGTGCTGTTGCATCAGGCTCGGAGTATCGAGGTGGTGCGCTTTAGCCGATCCCTCTCCGCGAATCAGCAGGACAGGGTAATCGGTGGCGCGCAGCTGGGAAGCGGCGCCAAAACGCTAGGAGATTCTGGTGGTTGGCGAGCAAACTATCTACACTCTCAAGGACTGGCCTGTCATGCCGATCAACAGAGACGTGTGACAAAATCACAGTGAGCTTCGGACGCGTCTGGAAGCTGGAGAAGTGCAGGCTACATAAACATGTGGACACCCATGCAGTGTGTCCTACAAGTAGTTGACTGGACGAGGACAGTGGTGGCATCCGACTCCAAAAGCGTTTGGCCGAGTATGGAATCAGTTTGGAACCAAGTGATGCCAAGGGTTTCTGAACTGACAAAACCAAATCAGACTGCCAAAGGCAGACTGCTGGAGCTGTGCATTCCATATTGACATGCAGTCATCCAGACATTCACACGTTTGCCTCAGCTGCCTCCCTCGCGTACAAGATGCCGCCAGAGTCACCAGACGCCGCTGCCTGACAGGAACACGGAGACTCACGGATTCAGCAACCACATGCAAGACACAGTGATGCCAGGTAATTCATAACAGTCACAGCAGGTGCAAAAGGGACGGAGTTAAGTGATGTTTGTGGCATTTCGTGGCAAGGTAGCTGCCAAGCCTAAGCTTGATGCTAAGCGTGCGCAAAGGCCTCGGCGAATCACAACTTGATCCTGGGGACAAGCACAGGCAACACACTCAGCTGCCGACAGAGGGACTGTCTCATAGCAGGTGCTGTGGATATGAGTACTGAGTAGTGTCGACCGGCCGGAGGAGAGAATGAGAAGCAGCAAGAGACACACACAGCCTACACAAGAGTGCAGCAGCGTACATGCGCAAACACACTTGACGACAAATCCACAATGTTGCATGCTTGACGTTCCACATCAGATTGTGCGCATTCGGGCCAACATGTGCTCCTGTATTGTCGCCGCGGGTCACCGGTTTCGAATCCGAACGGGCATTCGTCATCAGCGATGAGGAGTGTTTTCCACTCTTCTTGTGATTCGTCATGACAAGATTGTCACCCACCGGTAGGGTTGAGAATCTGAGACCTAAGGTGCAGTGGATCAGAGAACAGTCAGTCTTGATTGGATGGTTACCACTGCTAGTTACCACTGCTAGTTACCAGTTAACATGGAAATGACACAAACGAACGAACAGACCAAAACGCACTCATGCCGAAAACACATGGTCTGACACGGCCAAACAGGTAATGTGGCCATGTGTGTATATACACAATATATGTATACAGATATACACATACGTGTGCGTTTGCTCTAGTGCCGACAGCCCCCAAACGGACAGGACACCAGGTATGTTCGCTGCTGACAGTGTCGGAAACAGGGACCAACTGACCAACTAACCCACCAAGCTAGCTAACCAGTCAGCCAGCTAACAAGCTAACTAACTAGCTAACTTACCAACTCACCAACTAGCTGCAGCTAAGCATTTAACCAAACGACCATTTAGCCGACTCGCTAACTAACTAGCTGGCTAGCTTACTTACTTGCTTACATGCTTACTTGCTTACTTGCTTACTGACTTACTTACTTACTCACTACTTACTTAGGTGCCTTGTTCCGTTGCCAACAGCCCACGCATGGACACCGATGTGAGCCCTTCAACAAAGGAGCGACGACCGTCTCACATGAAAAACAGGCAAGGCCGAAGGTGGAAGAGACCCAGGGCAGCACCTGAAACCGCATGTGCGCTCGTCCACTTAGCTTGAACAAACAAGCGTTGAATGGAAGCAACCCTCGAAAGCAACCTGAGCAGCCAAACTTAGAATCCCATCTGCCCTCGCCATAGATGCGATTGAACCTACACGAGGCCCCGCATAAAGTTAACGAAGGAACTGATACCCTGTGCCCATGGTCGAGGACGGTACACACACATGCAGATGCGCAGACACCCCACAAAACAAGCAGGTCCGTCAAATTCCGTCAAAAGCAAGGACAACAGCAACATAAAGTTTCCACTTCGACACCACCATCCGCAACAAGAGCCGCAACAAGAGCAACACCAACAAAAGCAATGTTAGTAACAGAAAGACTCAAACTATTTAAACTGCATTGTGCTAAGCTTGGAATGTGTTCCTAGTCGAAATCGATTGCATCAAAAGTCCGACCACTTCATGACTGGGAAACTCTTCCCATCCATGCTGTGTTGAGTTTTGCAGCAGCCCGGAGTGGAGTAGAAGCATGTAGAAGCATCCTGATATGAGCAAGCTTTTGCATCACTGCACCGATCAGGCCATTGCTTGGTTCTGAAGGAGATGCAGCTTGTATGGTGCGCGCGCCTGCAGGGAATGGTTCCGCCCCCCAGTGTCCCACAGGCTATCGCTGACTGTGTTGCAATGCAGCTCATCACATGCGAAGCCGACATTTTTGCACAACTGTCGTTAAAGACGTCAACTTGGAGAACATGTCGTGAGTGTTAGGTCCCGGCGCAAATTTGCGTCGATACTGTTGGTGGCGTGCGAGGTGCGGATGACCGTGCCGCGTGCAAGTCAGTTTGACAGCTTGACCTCTCCGCGTTTGTGCTGCGCAGCACATAGGCATGGTGGTGCTGATGGATGGCAAAGGCAAGCTTCAAATATGCTATCTGGGTGTTGGCCTCAATACACCTCGAACTGCTAAGGAGAGCGCACAAGAAATGTCCGTCCCAGCACTGACTCTTCAATTGATGCTGAATTGGGTTTGTTTGAGGCTTCCTTGATAGCAGTCAGAAGTTCTGCAACAGCATCGTGACATTGGTACCAAACCACCAAGGCACTGATCCACCTACTGCGAGCTTGGTAAACACGGAAATGAAGGCGGCGCATATCAGCTGTGCTTATGCAGAGTGCTTCGAGCTCCATAATGTCATACATCGCTTCAAGTTTGATTTCTAGGATTTTCCGCCAGGTCCAGGGTGAGAGAAAGAGGAGAGAATCAAGACTGTGCAACGAGGCGGCACGCCGTACTAGACTTGAGGCCTCTGCAAAAATTTGGATTTTTTCCAAGCCTCGTCGCACATGCACAAGCTGTACAAGACAAGCATTAGCTTTTCTGCAGCGAGCTTCTTCTCATGTATAGAATTTTCTGTTCCATTCGCTATGAATGCGTTTAGTCGGTTTAGTGATCGTACACGTCTTTCGGACGGTCTAGCCTTCCGAAAAATCACTCTTATGCTCTCCTCTCACACTCTCGCCTCATTATCATTTCTACATATTATGCCATTTTTTCATAGGGTGTGGTTTTACAAATCAGCGAGGGTAACACTGTCGGGGCTGCACCCTTTCATTTCACGGTCCCGCGCTGGCCCCAGTCTCTGGGAACGCCGGAGCCAGAGTCATGAAGGTCATGAAGACGTCCAATGCACTGGCACGCCCGAACTTGATGAATCTGCTATGTATGTATGTATGTATGTATGTATGTATGTATGTATGTATGTATGTATGTATGTAATTATGTATGTATGTATGTATGTATGTATGTATGTATGTACGTATGTGTATGTATGTATGTATGTATGTATGTATGCATGCATGTATGTATGTATGTGTGTGTATATGTATATGTATGTGTGTGTGTGTATACGGATACGTACGGCAAGTGCAAGGGGGTACTTTTCGC